GAAAGATAATTAGGTATGCATAGTCAATGCTAATTAAATTATCGGAAATTTCAAGCATAGCTGGAAAGAATTAAGCACATAAATAAATTGGTTGATGCTACAATGAAAATGTTAGCAATGGAAAATAAATAGTAATGTAAGCTAAATTAATTTTTATTTTGAAATGTTTTATTCAAATAATTTCGAAAATATTGGGGCATTATAATGAAGTACTGTTGAAGTAATTTAAAAAAAAAAAAAAAGACTCTGTAAATGAATGAGATCAAATTATAATGAATTTTAATAAACGAGGAAGTAAGATAGAACAAGTTTCAATACAACAAATATATTTGGATTGTTTCATTTCAAATTATTTGTAAATCAATAATGATATATGTTGGATGTTGCATAATTTAATAAATCCAAATATAAGTATGTTCGTTAAATTTTGTTTTGTTTTAGAAAATAATTGTATTGCTAATAGAAGGTTATGCATAGATAGAATTTAAAATGAAGTATAAATTAAGTGGTAGTAAAATTGATATAAATTATAAGTTAAATGTAAGTGCATAATAGTAATGTTATTAGAAAAGAAATTTTTTTTAAGTGGTGGAAAAAAAGTAGAAAAATTATTTGATAATATCTTTAATTTTTTTTTTCAAATATGACGAAATCTTTTGAATGATTAAAAAATCGTGTTATTTTTTCTAAAATTCATTTCATTTTTTTACAATATTTATGGGAATATATATACATATTTTTTTGCTAATATTTTCTCCAATTAACTCTTTTTCCTGTAAAAGAAAAAAAGAGTTCCAAATAAAATTAAACAAAATTTTCGATTTAAATAAGTAAAATGCTGTTAAGTATAGTCATCAAATACATTATGCGAAAAAAATTTCAAGGAATGTCTTCTAAACTTCGATACGAAAGAAGTAAAAATGAAATTATTTTAATTTTCCATATGAAACTTGACCGCTATACAAATAAATTTAACATGAGATTGTTTAAAGTATAGCAAGAAAATGAATTCAATAAATGGATATACTTAGTAATACTTATTAATATACTTATGTATTATTTAGGTACAAAAAAAAGCTAAAATAGAAAGAATTCTTTTTTGAAATTTTAAAAAAAAAACGAAAAACGAAAATTGCTTCAATTTTCCATACAAAATTTAACCAGGTATAGATTGAATGTGAGATAGGTTGTATGTCGAGAAGATACCGCTTATATTTTATCTCGGAAATAACACCTTAAATTTAAACAAATCAACAATATAAAATTAAATACATAAAATTAAATATAAAATCAACAATTAAAAAATGAAATAAACAATTCAACTGTTTGTAATTATAAAAAATAATTTAAATTAAATATGAATATTTGCCAATGATTTATTTATGTAACCTATTGAATCTGAAAAACGATTGATAATGTTAGAAAAAGCATATTACTTTGTGATAATTTATAAAGATCATGCGTAGACATTCATAATTTAATTTCAGGTTTTTAAAATCTAAATTTTCGAAAAAATTTGCAAGTTTTTTTTCGAATATATATTTCACCAATTTAAATAATGGAGAATCCTGGGACACTGGAAAACGGGACATCATTCCTGGTGCATAATTATGAAGATGAAATACAGCAATCAGAGCTATGCGGTGATGTAAGTTTTCCTTTCGTAACTTTTTTCTTATTCACTTATTCTAAAATTTTTGAAATCTAGAAAATCATAAAATTTTGAAATTTCAATTATATGTCGAAAAAAAAGACTTATTTTTTGCTTAATTTTACTTTTTTTCTAGAACATATTTAATTCGGGAAGACTTTTTGGTTTGTGCTTTTTTCATGAAATTTCATCGAAACAATCAAATATTGGTCAAAATATTATTTTTCGATTCGATTACATGTTTTTCTTTCTTTCTTTTTTCCTTTTTTTTTTTTTTTTTTTATTTGTGTATATGCAATTTCAGAATTCTTTAGTTGAATGTACAGGTGTAATTTTCCAAATTGCTTTCCCAAATTCATCTTTAATCGTCATAGTTTGAGCTTTTTTCTTTTCCCATTTCAACAAATATGAAAATTTCCGAAATTATGAAAATTTTTCTTAATAATGGAATAAAAATTTCGAATGAAAATCATTTTCAATTACAATTCAAAGCATTTTCAGAATTTTCATTTATAAAAATTTTATCAAGCTTATCATTTTATACTTCATTCATTTAGCTTCAGTTTTCCAATCAGTTTTATTTTTATAATTTTCCTTTCGAATATTTCATTTTCAAAAGTATACATTTGATCAGAAAAAAAAAATGGCAATTTTAAAATATTTCCGTTAATTCTAACAATTATTATCAACATAACATGATAAATGATTGTCAATTGTTTTAAATTAATTTATCAGAATTTGAAATATTCAAATTTACTTGTTTTTAAAATTTAATTACAAACATATTTTAAAAATTGCTAAAATGAGTGCTAAAATTTAATTTTTCAATAAGTAAAAACATGATGCTTTTTTAGTTGTAATATAAAAAGCAAATATTCGTTTCTTTTTTCTTTCGGTATTTGATTTTATTATCAATTATTCATGTTTGTTTAGCAATAATTAGCAATAGTAATGTTTAGCAGTTAATTACCAATTAGCAGTAATTAGCAGTTTTTTTGCTCATTTGATAAAACACAAATCCGAAATGGAAAATACAAAAGAAATAAAATTATTTTGAATGAAGTAAAAGATGAAATTTCCTCGAAATTTTGGAAAAATGTATGTGTATGAAACCGAAATTTTGGCAGTAAGAATTAAATATCAAAATAAAAAGGTCAAAAAATTAAATTAATGAAAATCGGTAATTATTGAAATTTAAAAAATGAAAAATTTAAACTTCGTGAAGTTGAAAAATGGAAAATAATACCTAATATGCATTGTTTATACGCGAAGATTCACGGTTATTTCTTATTCGGATTATTCACATAATTCAAATCTGTAATTAATTAAATGTGCATTAATTAAATTAATTAAATACTTAATGCATTAAGTGAATTATATACGGTCAAAAAGTATTGCGAGTATCTCATAGAACAATCAGTCGATTAGCTGATATAGAATAGTCAACTGATAAGCTA